AAAAAAAAAAAAAAAGGTAGACTAGATCTACCAGCATCGATCCAGTCTAAGACAGCTGATTCTTATTATTGAAGGTGATATTGTTTTATAGCATCACTGTGAATGCTGAAATAAGGAATCCTGACCTACTGATCCTAGGTGAAAGCGGGCTTAGGTTCCTGTGAACCTCTAGTCATATGACATTTTTGTCAACTGATCAGCCTGTCACTTTGCTTTATATGTGTTTCAATTTAAAGACAATTTATTCAATATAAATTCTTCATTAATATTGAACTCAGTAGCTAACAAAGATGTAACTTGTGCCAGAATGAAGCTTATTTTAACATATATTTTTCCCAAAAGGCACATCATCCCCTTTTTGGACCTAGGAACACTAGATAGCACTTCACCATTTCAAACTGCAAAGTCACCTATAAAAAGCACAAAAATGTAAAAAGCATGACACTAAATAGACCATGGAAAGGACACTTGTTTACAGTATGGAATGTGAAAGTTTAATCAAGAAAACAGGGTGGGGCCGGGGATTTAGCTCAGTGGTTCCGCCTCCTGCCTCACAAGTGCAAGGACCCGAGCTCAATCTCTGGTAATAAAAAAAAAAGAAAAAGAAAACAGGGTGTTTGACCTCAGCTGAGAACATGAACACCAGGTGACAAATTTTTCACCTCTCTGAGCATGTTCACGAAGGCCTATGACTGTGCTACCAGTACTGATTGAGGTTACAAAGAAATTTGAGTAGGCAAATTTGCAAACACTGAATCTGTGAATAGCAAGGATCAGCTATACGTGTCATCACATGTTTTGACATCTCTCACATTGGAGTGGGTTTTTGATTTCATGAAATGCAAAACAAGGATCAATATAGATAGAACCTGATTAATGTGCAGTGAAAATTCAAGCCCAAGATCAGTATATATGGGATGCACCTAAATACATCAAGTAAAACACCAGGATACTTTTCTTTCACTATAAAATGGTTAAGAGGTACCCAGCCTTCCCTGGAGACCCTTGGGTACTGTTCTAAGCATTTTACCATCTTGGCTACTTTAACCCTCACAAGGCCCTCATGGTGCTATTTGTATCCCCGTTTTATATAAAGAGTTTCAAAAATGGCTCAGGGTGGCCGGGGATTTAGCTCAGTGGTTCTGCACCTGCCTGGCAAGTGCAAGGTCCTGAGTTCGATCCCTGGTACAAAAAAAAAGGCTCAGGGTTACAAACAAGATGTATATTTCACTCGGTAGTAAAAATGATGATTGGATTCAATAAGCAAACCTTCCTAATGTTATTTGTATTTGTTATTTGTGGGAGCTAAAACAGCCATAAACTCAGAACAATACTTTCTAAATTGTACTACTATGAAATAAAACAGTTTTATCCCCCTATCTCATTTACTGCCCACCATACTTCTTACTTAGATTTAAGCCACATATACGGATAAATTTCATCTGTAGCTGAGTTTTTCTAAGGCTAAATGAATGGGATTGTTTCTTAGCTTTTGAGTGTTTCTTTTATTTTAGCTTCATACAATTATTTTCTTCAGGGCCGGGGATTTAGCTCAGTGGTTTCGCCACCTGCTGCGCAACCACAAGGACCCGAGTTCGATCTCCGGTACCAAAAAAAACCAAACAAAAAACCAATTATTTTCTGCATGTAGGTATCTTTTCTGTTTATGAGAACTCTTGCATAACTTGTTCTGTGTGCACTGATGCTTGTTAATTTTAAATGTTCTCAACTCGCATTATGTTGAAGGAAGTCATAAATTAAGATGTGGAAACAAGAGAATCTTGTGGGCTCCAGACAGACTTATGCAACAGTCTGCATCTGAAAGCTGAAGTACTGTACTTCAGAAACAAAATACAGAAATATTCTAAATTGAGCCATAAAAAGTATGACAGTATGAAACATGTGAATGCATTGTTACTCCAAAAAATTTTTGTAACTTTTTTTTTATACTTTTACATGTTCAAAAAAATCCATTATTTTAAAATTTATGATCCTAGGAAACTATTGGTTCTTCAGCACACCCTCATTTAATTGATAGCACTTCCTCCCACCCCACTGCTGCCTACTGAACATCTACACATCAACCAAAGCATCTTCTGATCTTCCTGCCTCCAAGTGTTATTATTAAATTGAATTGGAAATTTCTGTTTGTGTAGGTTAAAAACAACCAGATATCAGCAATTTCATATATGGTAGTTCAGCATAACAACCTCCTTCCCCTTTGAGACAGGGTCTCACTACTGTTATGAATATAGTCCAGGCTAGCCACAAACTTGCATGGATCCTCCTGCCTCAGCCTCCTCAGTGCTGGAATGACAGGCATGTGCCTGTGTGCCCAGCAACGTCATCTCCCTTTGACCCTGCACTACATGGCCCTTTGTATGTTGCTGATGCCATTTATCTGATACTCTCTTGTCTACATTAGACTGTAAACCCCCTTAAGGGTAGGGACTACAGCTTGTTTGCAGTGTAGGCTCTGAATCCATGCTTGCTGGCAGGAAGGAGGTTCAGGAAGGCATCATGGCCCCCTTAACTTCCTGTGTCTTCCCTTTCAGCCGTCTACATGTGCAGCATCCTGGAGCACAACTGTGCCCACTTCTGCATCAACACGCCCGGCTCGTATGTCTGCAGGTGCAAACAAGGGTACATTCTCAACGTGGATCAGAAGACCTGCAGAAGTAAGCTTGCTTTGCTAACGCACTGTGCTGTCTTCGCTGGGCTCATTTTACTCATCTGAGGTTCCTCATCCAACCCACTCACCACCTCCCCAAGGACAGAAACAAGGTTTTATGTTGACCCCACCCCCACTCAGCCATCACTGGGCTTTGGTCAGAGCCTGGCACGTTGTCAGCTGTAAAGCAGAGGGTGGCAGATCGTTGGAAACAGCTCCTTTTCAAGTGAGCTGGAGCCCTCCCCTCTCAGCCTCTCCCAGGGGAGCCACTGAAGAGCCTTTTCATCCACTGTCTGTATTAACTGCACCTGGAGGAACTATTTTCCTGTTTTATTTTCTCTAAAGCTTGGGCTTGGGAGGAGTTATTAACCTTAGCTGGAATGGTTTTGCAGGTTCTGTTGTAGGGTTGTGTAGGGATCTGTTTGTTTTGGTGAGGACACTTTATTGGTCTCCTAAATTTAAAAAAATGGGGGGAATAGATATAAAGAGTTAGAATTCACATTCTCCTTTTTTGGCCAAGCCCCAAGGAGTAGCCAATATACTGATGTTTGAGCTAGCAGATATCAGGGGTATTTTCCCTCTTGAAGGACGGAATCACCCCCATTTATCGAGTAGGTACCCTTACTTCTTAAGTTGTGAGTGTAGCCATTGTCCCCATGAGCAGACAGCCAGGCTACCAAGCAAGGCCTCAGGAAGCCAAGCCCCATGGAGCACACGAACTCAGCTCATCTGACATGTAGCTTATGCAATGCATAATTGTTATTATACCACACGGCAAGCAATTAAACATTAATGGGAAACAGTTTGTACAAATGGCTGTAATTAATGTTGTATTTATAGAGGCAAACCACATTTTCCATTTTTCTTCTCACTTTTAGGATTGAGTGTTTGGCTGGAGGTCCCTTGCTCCCCAAGATTAGGGAACATCTGCTTGCCTCCTTCCGGTTCTGGGGCTCTGGAGCCCTCCGGACTCTGAGGCCTGGGCACTCTGTGCTCTCTGGTCCCTCTCAGATCGCACGACCATGTTCAGCGCAGCTGATATCCATCACCCTTGTCTCCTACTCGAAGTTCTGATGCTTCTTCAGTGTCCACCATAAAAATCACTCCCCGAAAATACTCCTGGGTTTAATAGAACTTATTGAAGAACTGGGAGGCCTTGGAAAGGCCATCTCAATTCATCTTACACACTGCTCAGCAAGCAACCTGAGTTCCTTAGCCATCCCTGTCCTCTTCGGGGATGCTCAGCACCCCACCATCTTGCCCACTCCTCCTGCCCTTCCCTTCTTACCAGCACAAGGAATTCCTCTCCTTGTCCCATCTCCAGTGCTTGGCTGGGAGCTGGGTGGCTGCCAATGTCTATTTTCCATGCTCCGGCTTAGCCAAGCCAGAGGAATTCCCACACCAACTGAAAACAGAAAAAGCTGTCCCTCTGAATTCAGTAGCAGCCCTGCCTGGGTCCCATGCAGGCCCTAATGTCCCTGGACATAGACGACCTTGAAGCCTGGTCTTTAGACACAGGCTTAGGGGAGAGCAGTAGGCCCAGGTGGAGGAGGGGCCGATTTCAGGACATTGGCTCTCAAACTCCAGAACCAGAAACCAGCTGGGAAGTGACTGCTAGGCTCACCTCAGAGATTCTGGGTCAACTGGTGTGGAATTTCGAAGAGCTTCTGACCCACATGGCCACACTCTGAGGTCAGTAGTCTCAGGCGGTGAGGGGGCAAGGGGAAGGCCTGGCCTGCGGGAGGACAGGAGCTGGAACAGGGCATCCCATCCGGCCAGCCCACCAGCCAGCCTGTACCAGCTAAGCTCCCTTTCTCTTCAGCAGCAGACTTAGCTTAATATATGCACAGTTCCCTCTCTGTCAGGAAAAGATCATATTAATCACTCTTCTTCGTTCCCGAAGTTGGAGTGCCTGAGGTCTTGTGGGAAGAACAGGACCTTGGTGTTCCCTGGTTGCCACGTGGATCCTGACTTTATCATCTACCAGATGTGGCTGTCTTACCCTGAGCTGGTTACTGGAACTCCTTGACTCAGTTTCCTCACCCGTATAATGAGACAGGCAGTAACAGATACTACTTACCTCAAGGTCCCTGTCAGCCCGTGTAAGCAGCACTGCTTACGTTTTGCAGCTTCTGTTCTTGCCTGGGGGTGAATTAAGTAAACAAGCCAGGTCATCAAAGCCACCAGTGCCTGCAGCCACAGGTCAGGCTGACAGACCTAACCATAACCACTTCTCCTCAGTTTACTGTGTGCCAGGAGCTCCCCTGGTGCTTTGCATCTGTTGTCTCATTTCATTCTCAAAATGAGCCTTTAAAGTAGTGTCATCACCCTCGGTGTACACATAGGGAAAATAAGGAACAAAAATTTACCCAAGGTCACATGGCTAGCAATGTGCCCCAACCAGCATCCAAATCCTGTCCTGTCCTACTTGTTAGCCACTGTTTGATACCATCCCATGATCCTCGAGGGCCCCTAGATGGCAGCAGGGCAGGCCCGCAACTAGGGACCTTCTCCAAGCCTAGGACAGACGGGCCCACAGCCCACAGATACTGAAGAGATCAGAGCTAATTTACCAGGACCCACATGCAACTGGTTGTTGGTTCCCCAAGTCCACTGCCAACAGCTGTTCTTGCACAAAATGATTGTGTGAGGGAGGCCCCTTGGGCAGCTGCCTTCAAACACATGCACACTTCACGTATGTGCCACATGTATCTCCACCACTTTCTATTCGATTGTGCCCGTGTGGAGATCGGAGGCAGACACAGGTGATTCACAGATTCTTTGAGTGGTAATGGGCATTGTCTCAGACGTCTAACTCCCCCTCCTTCAGGACCCTAGAATTCTGTCCCTTATGCGTGTTCTAGATGGGCGATAGCTCTTAAGAACCAGCTCATTGCAAAGGACCTGGATCCTTTATCCAGTTGGCCTGGATGAATGGGTAAGCTAAAATCCTACTCTGCAGTTTTCCCCTTTGATCCTGTTTCTGCCATCTGAAGCCATATGTCATGAAAGTTATTTCCTAATCCAAATAAAAAGAGAAAGTCTTTCAGTTATTGAAAAATGTTGTTCCACCCACTCCACTTATCCTCATTAATCTTGTCGTTCTCAAGGGAAGTATAAACTCATCCTTAGATGCCCTGGTTTTGGGTCTCTTCCTTGTCCAGGTAACCCTCTTTTGGGTGGCCTTCTGTTTAAAAGAAAATGCATTCAAAAATCATACTTTCTCTGCAGGTGCAAGGACCCAAGTTCAATCCCTGGAACCAAAAAAAAAAAAAAAAAGAATCATACTTTCCAAGAGCAGGGCTTTAGATCAAGGGCATTGAAGAGTCTTACCTTCTGAGGTCTGCTCATATGGGCAATTTGGAATTACAGTACTGGGAGTCAACATTATGGATTCCTTCTGCTTTTCAAAAAATCTTTCCTAGGGCCAAGGATTTAGCTCAGTGGTGCTGCCACCTGTCTCAAAAGCGCAAGGCCCTGAGTTCAATCTCTGGTACAAAAAAAAAAAAATCTTTCCTATTCCAGTAGCATTATATGAGACATATACAAAAGCTCTAGTATAGTGCTAGAACAATAGAAGTTTACGTCCTTTTCCTCATTTAAAAAAAGATGGTGAAAAGAAAACTTCATGAAATGTGTCCCCCACCCTTTTTCAGTACTGAGGAATGAACCCAGGGCTTTAGCAATGAGCTACATCGCCAACTCTTTCTTCTTTATTTTTTGAGACAGGGTCTTGCTAAGTTGCCCAGGCTGGGCTCAAGTGCTGGGGTTACAGGTGTGTACTAATGCATGCAGCTGAAATGTTCCCCCTCTCCACATGCCTGCTTTTTCTTTATACGCCTTTTAAGCAAGGAATTTTCCCTCCTTTTTGGAACATTTAATTTATCTGGAAGCTATGTAAATGCAACATTTATAAAAGTTCATTTGGCAGAAAATGTAAACTTTCTTATACAGATTTCTCAATTCTCTTTTTTCTGTCTCAATAACCATACCAAATGGATTTTACTGCTCTTGTGCTTTGGAAATATTCCTGGAAGTGTTTTTTCCAAGCTATATAAGTGATTTAATAGCTTTTATGTTAATTTAAAGGAGCATGAGCCAGAAAAACAGTTGCATTATAGAGATAGGAAGAAAAACTATAACCAATAACCTTCATGAATTTAGACACAAAAATTCTTAACAAAAATTTTAGCAAGTAGAATCAAATACTGTTTATAAAAAGAACAATATATTAAGACCAAAAATGGTTTATCTCATGAATTAAAGGTTGACTTAACATTCAAAAATTAAAATTCACCATATTAACAAGGTAAAAAAAACCCATCTCAATAGATGCAAAAAAAGGTAATAGACAATATCTAAATCATTCATGATAAAACTCTCAGCAAAGTAGGAATAAAAAGGAAATGCCTCAACCCAATAAACAGCATCTACAGAAAAATCTACAGTTAACATACTCAAAGGTGAATGATAATGAAAGGATTTAGAAGTCATAAAGGTTAGAAAGGAAATTGTCTTTATTAGATTATATGATTGCCTATGTAAAAAAGCTAAAGGAATTTTCAAAAATCTACTAAAATTGATAAATAAATTTAGCAAGGTTGCAAGATAAAAAGTCAATATACAAAATTGTTTTATTATATTTCTGTATACTGTTAATGAAAAGAAAAAATTGTTGTTGTTGTTTTTTTAGTACCGGGGATCTAACTTGGGACCTTGCACTTGCAAGGCAGGCGGTGGAACCAAATCACTGGGCCCAAAAATTGTTATTTTAAAATACCATTTACAATAGCATAAAATATGAAAAGTAAAAAGATTTCTGAGATAAATTAAAGAAGACCTAAATAAATGGAGGATACACTGTATTATGGACTTTAAAGAAATTAACAACTGGATGGCTGTTTATCAGCAGGGGATAAATATCACACCGTGACACATAGGCGCAACTTAAAGCTCCTCACCAGTGGGAGAATGAACTGCTGACACAGGCAGCAGCCTGGACACAAC